GAGGAGATGAAGGAGGAGGAGATGGAGGAGGAGGAGATGGAGGAGGAGGAGATGGAGGAAGAGGAGATGGAGGAGGAGATGGAGGAGGAGGAAATGGAGGAGGAGGAAGAAATGGAGGAGGAGATGGAAGAGATGGAGGAGGAGATGGAGGAGGAAGAGGAAGAGATGGAGAAGGTGGAGGAGAAACAACTCCAGACATACTCAGCTACCTTATCTTTGACAAAGATGCCAAACACATTCACTGGAAGAAAGATAACCTCTTCAATAAATGGTGCTAGAAAAACATGTTTTGCACTTGCTCCGGATGCTGCCCCTGGAGGCTGACTCCTGGGAAGCCACATATCAGCCATTCGGGAGAGAGGGTCAGTGTTCTTGCTTTGTGGGGTGTTCTGAAGTAGTGGAGAGTAGGGCTGAATCCAGCAGCAAGGGGTTCCCCCAAAACATCCATGCCTGGCAGAAAGCAGCCCCAACCTCACACCAGGCCAAAGACCATAAAGCCTGTGACAACAGGTGGTATCAATGGGCATGTGACAAGCGTCCTCCCTGGGCACGGTGGTACATGACATAATCCCAGCAATTCAGGAGGTTGAGGCTGGAAGATTGCAATTCAATACCAGCCTGAGCAACTCAGTAAGGCTCTGTCTCAAATTTTAGGGGTGCTGAAGACACAGCTCAGTGCTCCACAAGCTCACAACGCCACGCACATGTGTGTGCACACAAGAGCCTGCTCTGTCCTCCTTCCTCATACCCCTAGCCATGCCCTCAGCCCTGAGGAGCACTGTAGGGCAGCTCTGGGCCATAAGGAGCCACGCCCTGCCCCCATCCATGCCCAATGGAAATCCAGCCCCACTTGGCTGCTGCCTGGCTCCCTGCAGCACAAAGGCAGTGCTGGGTCCCCCACTGCATCTCAGAATCGGCTGTGCGGCCAGCAGTGGTGCCCAAGCAGCACCAAGTTTGGCTCCTGGCCTCAAGAGCCATGCAGAGCCCCTAGTGTCTCGCCCTGCCCACCTGCCCCAGCCCACGGGTCACTGTGGGAGAGCCTGACACCGGCGGTGGAACCAGCCCTCGCCTGTGTAGCCCACACCCTGGCCTGAGATGGCACAGGGTGCCCATTTCCTCATTCAGAGACCTCGGGGACCCCATGAGCTGAGGAGTTGCAGGCCAGCATGGCAGGAACAGAAACCCAGGCGATGTCAGCTGTGTGTCCGTCTCATTCACCTCCAGTTGCGCCATGAACAGATGGTGTCATAGGCATGCAGCAGAGCGCTACTCAGTCCCCAAAGGGACAGTGCAGCCAGGCACAGAGGTCCGACCCTTAACCCCAGTTCTCCAGAGCCCTTCCAGCCTAGGGCAGGGAGATCAGGAGTTCCAGCCCAGGCTGGGCAATTTAATGAGAGCCTGTCTCAAACCAAAAGTCATTTATAAAAAGGAACAATGGTTGTAGATGAGAAACACGTGGGTGAATTGCACGCACCCTGCCCAGGAGAAGGAGGCGATAGCTACCACCACATCCTGTGGGGCCCCAGTCCTGTGAAATCCTAGCACAGGAGAAAAGGAAGGACGGAGAGCAGATCTGCAGCTGCAGGGCTAGAGCCTGCAGTGGCCACAGCCTGGGGAACGCTTCCTGGGTAACAGCGAGCTTCCGTATCCTCGGGATGGCGCTTACGTTTGTGCCTGCGTCTGCGGGCAGCGGTCTGCTCTTCCCACCGCGAAATAGGACCGAAACTGCGGAGGCGCGAGAGGGTGCGGCAAGCTCAGAGGGGGCTGGGTGCAAGGACGCCCCGCGCGGTGCGGCGGGCAGAGCGCGCGGCGGGAGCGACCCAGAGAGGAGCCGGAGGCGCGGTCCCGAGGCGGCCCTGCCTGCCGCTGCCGACTCCGCTGCTGCCCGCCCCGCCCGTGCGCCACGCCGCGCGTCAGCGCAGAGGCCCCGGAGGCTCAGCCCTGGGGACCCGGCCCCCGAGGACCGGCGACGACGGGAGTGGGGCTGGGGGCGCGCGTCTGCGCGGGGCCGCCTACGGGACGGCGCCGTCTGCGCACCCCACCTCGAGCCGGACTCCGAGGCCGCGGCGACCGCAGCAGCAGCAGCGCCGCATCCCCACGGTCAGACGGGGCGGAGTCCAGGCTCCTGGAACCTGCACTCGAGGAGCGGCTCGGGACCGCAGCCCGGCCGTGGGCAGCCTTCCTTACTCCGGAAGTCAGCTTATCTGAAACTGTAAACGAAAGCGGGAAGGCCCTGGAAGGCGGACCTGGCGGCAAGCCCTCTCCTCTTCCGGGAGAGCAGAGGTCTGTGAGCGGGGCAGCCGCACCCTCTAGCGGCCGCGTGGAGAACGACAGGGACCGGGCACCTTCCTAGAAACGTCCCTTCCCAGCCTGGGCCCCGCCCTGTGTCCTTGGTTGTCTAATTATTACCAGAGAGGCGTTCAAATCTAGCTTCAAGTTGTTCGAGTTGTAGTAAGAAGCTGTGCCCTTAGGAGCTGCCATTTCCGTACCCGAAAATAGGATTGAATAAACTTCCCAGGATTAAATAAATACAAGCCCCAGAGCTGGCTGCAGGAGCGGAACCCAGTGGCCTGGTGTAAGAGCTTTGCATGAGGGGCACTTTGATGGGGCACGTCCCTTTGCAGAGAAGCTCACTGATGACATTTTGTTGCCTCTGAATCAACACTTCTGCAGGGATGCCCCTCCCTGTTCGCCCTCCAAGGTACCGACCACGCTGTCGGGGAGTGGGTGACTACATGCATCGAGGCAGGTCCCAAGAGTGGGGTGCAGTTTATCACCCTCGTGTCCCCAGCACACCTCTCATGGGCAACAAGAGAGGCCTCACTGCAGACATGAGGTGCATGGAGCTTAGTGAGCGCTTCGTTTTTTCTGACTTTGTATCGCAACAAATTTCAGATTTCCAACAAAGCATTTGCAGGTGCTTTTGATCCCGATCCCCAAATGTGCGCCAGGTGAGGCTCACCTGGCTGCTGATGCTTGGGAGCGAGTACAGGTCAGCACTGGCTTTTGGCAGTGGAAGTGTAATCCAGCCTTTCTCCCCAGTTTTGTCCGTGTTCCCTAAAGTAAGGGGGTTCTCTTACTTAGTCACACTTCAGTTACCAAAATCAGGAAGTGGACGTAAGAGCCACTGTATCTTGTCCCCAGTCCTTGCTGAGATCTCAGCAGTCGTCCCAGCAGTGCCTCTACTGAAAAGGAAACCAGGTTCTCATCTCTGTTGGCCTTTAGCCCTCCTCTCCCTCGGTGTAAGTGGGCTCGCACTTCTCAGCAGTACTCCAGGTTGCCCCCATGCAGGGTGTGCCTGTGTTGCCTCGGAGTAAGTGTAAATGCAAGGGGTGGGGATAAGTTGCACCATTTTGGTAAAATGCCATGAGAGGGAGCTGCTCTCTCTCAGAGCTTCACACTAGAAAGAACCCGGGTCAAAGCCTGAGTCTGGAGGTGTCAACGCTGAGGTCACAGGCCGGATGGCACCTTCCCGTGGCTGCACTCTTACCTGTCGCAGTTAGCAACACCTTGTGAAGAAGCAGCAGGAGAGGACTGTGGTCCCCAGTTCCACCCTTTGTCCCCTGCGCTGTTCTTGTGAAGCCATGGTGCTCTCTCCCCCCCCACTCTCCTGGCAGCTTTAGGCTTCTTTAGGGGAAGCCCCTCTTCTCCCAGCCCACTACCCCAGTGCCCCTGTGTGTGAAGGGCCCAGACCCCCATCCATTGGGCTTGTGCCTCACCCTCATCTGAGCCCTGCTGTCTTGGTTTCTTTCACCCATGGCCAAGCCTTTATCTGAAAACACCGAGTGGACAACCCCAGAAAGAACTGGTTTGCAAGCCTCATACTCTGCACCACTCTAGCCCCTGAATCTCCCGTGGTGTGCCCAGAACAAGTGTCCCCACCCACCGCACCCAGCCACACACACCACTCTCCCAGACTCAGCCACCTCAGAGCCAGCGTTGCTGCAAAAAGAAAGCACAATCAGCTATTCCTGGTTTGGGGGGGGTTGTTTTGTTTTGTTTTTTTTTGTTTTGGCAGAGCCAGGGATTGAACTCAGACCCTTGTGCTTGCCAGGGAAGCACTTATTCCACTGAGCCATCTCCCCGGCCCCTACAATCAGCTATTCTGAGAGAGGGAGAGACCACATTTGCATCACTTCATTGCAGACAGTGTCTCTCATGCTGTTTGAATTGTTGTTGGTTAGAATTGCTGTTTGTGTTGTTGGTTACTGCTTCCTTTGCTGAGCAGACTTTTAATTTGATATCATCCCATTTGTATACTCTGGGTATCATTTGTTGCTCAACTGAGATTCTGTTTAGAGAGCCATTATCTGTACTTATGTCTTCAAGATTATTATCTAATAATAGAATTTTTATTTTTATTTTTATATCTTCCACCAGGTAGTGTTTCAGTTTCAACATTTAAGTCTTCGGTCTGTTTTTATTTTATATTTGCACGAGGGGAGATACATGAATCTAGATTCAGCCTTCTGCACATATGTGGCCAATCGTTCCAGCACCATTTGTTAAAGAGCCTATTTTTGCTGCAGTGTGTGCTTCTCACCCGTCTGTCCAACATCAGGTGACTTAATGTGCCTGGCTGGTGCTGCGTCCTCTGTTCTATTCCACTGATCCTCACGTCAGTCTTTGTGCCCAAACCTTGCTGTTTTATCACTGTAGCTTTGTAATATAGTTTCAGATCCAGGATTATAATGCCTCCTGAAGTGTTCCTGTTGCCCAGGATTGCCTTTACTATTTGAGATCTCTTCTGATTCCATATAAATTTCAAAGTTGTTTCCTCTAGTTCTGTAAGGAATACTACTGGTATTTTTGGGGGATGGCATTAAATCTACATATTGGTTTTGGAAGTATGGCCATTTTGATAATACTGGTTCTGCCTCTCAAGGAAAAGGGCATACTTTTCCATTTTCTGACATCTTTGATATTCTTTCTCAGAGTACCATTTGTTTTTAATATAGAGGACCAGGAAGATAGCTCAGTAGAATAAGTGCTTCCCTGGCAAGCGCAAAAGCCTGAGTCCAATCCCTGGTTCTGCAAAAAAAAAAAAAAAAAAAAAGCACTTCCCTGTTTTTTGTTTGTTTTTTTTCCATAAATTTATTGAGAAACAAATAGCAATGAGACAGTTTCAAACCAAATTGGTAGGACAGTTTCAATAATTAAAACGTTGCAT